AAAAAAAAAAAAAAACCTCTCCCCTCTGTGAAACTCCTATGCATGCTTTATGGAGTTTCATTTCATAATCTTACTTTATTAAATGTAATTTCATATGCTATGGGATCACAATAGATCAATACTGATAGGAGACTATATAAAGTCTTCCTAGAACACAGTCGTCTCAAGACAGAGCAAGGGAAAAAGCAGTTTTCTATGCAACCAGTATTTATTACAAAAACTGTAGGAAGACTTGCGTGTTACAGCACAGGAAGAGAAGGGGCAACAAGAAGAAATAAGATTCCTAAGCTTTGAAAGCACTCAAACATGGGAGCAGTATCCCTTTTTCACCAGCTACAAAATCATAAGTGTCCTTAACATTGTGAACAGATCCCCGAGTATGAAAAAGAAATCATATAAAAAACAATGGCAAAAATCAGACAGCAGCAGAGACCTGAACAGAAACAGAGTCCATCCTGGTCTTACATTCTGATCATACATTCATTCACGATCATACCTCACCACTGCTCGTATCAGCAAAAGGAACTGCAGTGCTGTCCTTAACACACCACGTTAATAACATAGGCAAACCTGAGTCATTTACTTACCAAGCTATTTAACTAATTACAATTTAAAAAAGCATGTATAACAACTGAAGTTCAGTAAATTTTAGATGAGCTGGTAACAATGAAATGCAAAACCATATCCTGAAAGGCTCACCTTAGGAGGTTCACGGAACATCTGGTCAAGAGAAATAAATTCTAAGCTTGGCAATAACTCAATAAACTGACTGAAAGAATCTAGCTTTATCGCATGGCATCGCACCAGGGTGAGGTCAACCAGCCGGGTCCATCTTGAATGATCTGCAGAAGAGGGAAAGATGCATTTCTTGAAAGATTCTTACCTCACGTATCTTCTATTATAACCTTTCCAGATTTGAGACTGAGCATCTTCGGTATCTCCACTCTGACAGTCATCAGCACCATTAAGGTTCCAAACCCTACATCATCTGTTACAATTACTAAGAAAGAGAATAAGCAGTCGCACAGGAGGGGGAAAAAAAAAACAATAAACAAAAACCCACTGCATACAGTTATGAGTAATGTCACATCCCATTCTATTATATTATTCAATGATTACACAAAATGCATTTGCACTTTCAGGTTTATTTTATAACATACTAGTATCCAAATGACAAGAACCTTGCTCTTTCTCACTGATCTCTAGTACTTCGATCACCTCTCAGAAAAGGAAAATAAAATGAAATAGGCCATACAGAGTTTATAATCTTCTCATTACCAGACCCACAAGGATCAGCATTCAAGAAGTATTAATTACTTAAAATTAATGCATAGCAAAAATGGGATAAATTGTCATTTTTGTGATGTCTTGTTATACCTTGATTTAAAGAACTAATTTATTCTCCAGGTATCAGTGCAAATTAACACAGTTACATTTTTATATGGAATTTCCATACACACAACATGCACATGATCAAAAAAAAAAAAAAATCTTGTGCAAGAACATTTCACCACCTCAAGTTTTCCTTCTGAAATCTATTATGCTTTTTCACCCAGTAGTTTAAATTATAAGGTGGGATTTAAAAATCCCAAGTTCTGTGTGAGCTATTCATACAATCTCTCTAAAATTTCAGAAGTGTACTATACCTGTGATCCAATTATTTGGGTTGTGTAGATGCGGGCAGTTGTAAATTACCAGATACTTGATGCAAGAAAACACTTCATTTCCAGCTTTCATACCAATGTCTGTAATAATCCCTGGATTTTCAACCACATCAGCCAAGCCGTACTTTACCAAGTCCCCATTCGTCATTTTACCTATGGAAAAGACAGCAGCAAATACAGCAGTAAATTTCAGCAACTTGTCTTCTACAGTATGATTTTCTAATTCAGTGTTACACCAGTTTGGACTAAACAGATCAGGTTATTCCTTCAGGTCAGTAATGCTGAGACTTTCCTCGTTTTAGTGAGAGCTTCAGAAAGTGAAGGAGAAAACAATATATATATACACATATACATATATACATATATATATATATATGTACACACACACATATATGGCTGTATAAGACATGAAACCTCAATAAGTGTACATTTATATTCTTTTTAATCATTCTTAAAAAAAATCATTAAAAATACAAATTTATTTTATCCTAATATTTGTCAAATAATTTAGGGTCTTTAAAAAGTGTCATACACTGCAGTAAAAACTCATCAACATATCCTAGATGAAGAGTTTCAAACTGTGGGAATTCCAGTTCAGCCATCTTCAGAGCAGAAAAAACACCATCTTTGGTCAAGGAAGGCTGGATCCGCACTTCATGCAATCTGAAAGCAACCAAGTATGGTTCACATTAAAAGGTGCACCAAATCACAATTACCACAGAGGCCACTCAAGAGGCGGCTCTCTGGTAGCAGAATGAAAATATTCTTTTAACAATAGCAGGATTAAGAAGATACTTGTATCTTTATGGCACTATTTGGCAGTACGCAGCAATACCAGTCACTGAGATTACTATGAGACTAACAGCATTGAACTCTTCAGATAGAGTCCTGAGAACAAGGCTTATGACACGACATGAGTCAACAGCAGACAGAACTCCAATTATTTTTCTAATTACAGAATATTCTTGTCATAAAGTTTACAAGTACCTTACTCCTTGAACTTTTAAAGGATGCTCAGCTTCTTCATGCTCTTGGACTTCATTACTAAGATAATTACTTTGACAAAGGAGAAGAAGGAAAAGAAAGATCTTAAGGCCCATACCTTCGTGCAGCAGTTATGATGAGGTAGCCAAGATCCACTTCAAGGGCATTCTTGCAAGCTCCGAGAACTATAGTGTGCAAATTCCTAAAACCGCCTGACAAACAAAAGCCATTTTTCCACTTTAGTCACAGATCCCAATCTTAAGCTTTATAAATTTCTCCAGCGTCATTACCAAAAGTGGGTTAACAACAAAATACACATCTTTTTTTAATCAAAACAATATAAAAGATATTTTCACCCAGCTCCCTCAAACCCTGCCAGTTCTACTCACCAAACATACATAACTGGAAAGGTTAACTTATAAGTCAAGAGATAATTCCAGGTAAAAGAATACTCAGTACAGAGCTATATTTAGCATACCACAGATAATTCAACCAGATACCTTTAAAATAATAACCTAGAAAGGACATGCTACAGAAAAAAAGCTAAGCCTCATGTGCCTCAAGGCTTTTTTTTTTTTTTTTTTTAATTAAAAGTACAGGAGGATAGAAATTTTCATACCTGATCTCCAGCTATCTTCTACCACATGCTGGATAAGTCCTCCAAGAAAAGGAACACGAACGAGTTCTAAATGCTCCAAATTCCGGGCAGAAGCCAAGCCTGTTACTAAGGGTACATACTTCAGAGAATTTGTGGGTCCTACGAAGAACAGACCAATAGAAAGAAAGTTGCTCATTTAACAAAACTGAACATATTACATTAAGTCAAAGGCGCCCATATAAATCCATCTGGATCAGAAAGTTAACAGAAACATGTAGCACCAAATACAGTACAGGAGAGGAACACATATCCATCAAACACCACAAATAAAACAATGACTCTTTTTGGAATACCGCACACTGAAAAACAAATACTAAGATTTCCATTCGCAGCTTTAACAGAATTACTAAGTCTTCTACATGCTAAAACATCCCCTTCATGAATGAATTCCTCTCTCTTACCTGCACAATTCCTCATGACAAAAGTGCGTAAGCTGATACAAAGGAAATCTTTAAAAGGCTGTGGTTTGGTGAGTCTCACCCACTTCAGATAAAGGTGCCTCAGCATTGGGATACAAGGAATTTCAGGGACATTCACTCCTAATAACATATAAACAAAATCAAAGCTCAAATCACATACCATTTCAAACAAGCTTTCTAAGTATAAATTCTAGGATAAGTTTTGCAAGATTAATTACTTTGGCTTTAAAAGAAAAATGTTTCCTTTGCTACTGGACGTATGGGAAAAGCTTTAACCTTTTCGTACACAAGTTCTTCACCTCAGTTTGTCAACAGTTTTTTAGTGTTTGTGCTTCGGACCTGCTATACATATGGTGATTAATAATTCAAAAATGCCACATGTCAAATTCCCTCCCTTGAAAAGAATGTCAGTCCCGCAGAATTTCAAAGCCTTTAAGTTCATCTGCATCGAAGCCAACTAATTCACCATTAAACACTTACCTACTAAATGCAAAGTCTGAATTTTAGCTCCTATAGGAATTTTCAGTTTGTTCTCAGGAGGAATCGGAAAAGCACCATTACGATTACGAAACTTCCCTAAAATATGAACCTGCGGCATGTACGTCCAAATAGCTTCCACCAGCTCCAGATGGGAGGTCTCAACACCCTGGAAAAAAGCAAGCAAAGCAAACGCTTTGAACTTCTTAGTAAGGCACACAACTTAAGAAAATGACGCGCTGCGTTGTTTCCAGATATACTTGTCTTTTCAAAAGCAGAAGGATCAGAGTTTTAGTTCCCTGCTGGAGGTAAGGGCACCTGTGACTCCCACTGTTGCAACTAAAAACAGTACTAATTTGAAAATCAGTCGCACATTTGCAGATACGGTCACAATTAACTGCTCCTCTGTAACAGCCCGGTCTGAATACAAAAAGCCCTATAAGCATATTAAAAATGGGTGCCTGCCACATATTTCTTCCACACCGGGGATCATCTCAGCTGTTGAAGGATGTTCTCTCTCGAGTCTGACCACTCACCAGCAGATTCGGACAGGCCTGCAAAGCCTCTAAAACTCCAGGAATGCTGAAAGCTTCATGGCCACGGACTCTGCGTCTTTCAAGATACCTGGGATGAAGACCATAAAGTTGTTCAATGTCTGGCATCTTCCTCAGCAGTGTTAGGAAACTGGAATCAGTGAAACCTAAGATGACAACAAGAGATTCGGTATTCGTGTGACAGCATGTAGCTAGCTGTAAAGGAAAAGCCAAATATGTTGTTTTTATTGTATAGCAGTACAAATTCTACAATGTCAGAAGACTTATTCAGTGAAGCAACAGTTTGTTTTCCATCTCCAGATTCTAAAATTATGACCTACATGCTCTTCTGCCTTGAATTTTGCAGGCTTGCTACGTGTGTCGTCCAGGGCAGTTACACGGCTGTAGGGTTAACTATATACTCTCCCTTCTCAGATGGGGTGCCTCTAGTTGTTAAACTCTGCACCTCTATCTTTCCTGGAATTCCATTTATGAACTACCTGGCTCAAAAATGCCCAACTGGTTCAGTTATCTGCAGTTCTTCACTATTCACCACAGCTCACAAATCCCAAAGAAATGAGACAGTTTCTTAAAACAAAGGATTGTTTTATTCTAATACGACATAAGACAAGGCTTTTAAAGCAGTGAGTTATGATAAGATAAATATAAGGATAGATAAGTCTAGCCATCTACCTGATATCAGACCTAAAAAAATATCACTTTGCAGAGCCTCTAATTCTTAGAATTCACTCATTTTAGCTCTCTCCCCCAACACAAACCCCAGCAGCGTATTTTAAATCCAACAGAAATCCTAATACTCACAGAGTTGACCTAGGTTGCCAAATTTATCTATTGATCTGAAGATGGCTTGAGGTGTGACATCAAAACTTATTTATTCTTACATTGTTAAGTGTTGGCAGATGAGTTGCTCGCTCATTCCATTGTATTTTTTCCTGCCTGCATGCAAACAGCCTCTTCTTGGATTAACCCTTGGATTAACTCCCTTACAATAATCAGACAAACACAGATTGTATTTACAGATTGCTACAGAGAATCCCCATTTCTGCTACACCAATATTCAATACATACGTATATATTCATATATACACACACGGATATACAGACAAATTTTCCAAACCAGTTAAGGAAGCCACCCAAATCTCACTGAAGTCAAAAGGAATTAAGTATCTAATTTTTACTGCTTTTGAAAATTTACCCTACGTGTATTAGTATAGTAATAGTACAGTATAGCCAGCTTTGCTCAATATCAGACTAATGCCATATCTTAAATGAGTGCATTACTCACCAGTGGGCATGTATTCCCACCAGCGGCCTGCACATAAATCCACAACCTTCACCACTCGCAGATAAAGAGTGACGGCTTCCTTCAGCTTCCGGGACAGGCATTCCATGCACATGATATCCTGCAAGGGAAGGTACCTTTGGGAGAGGAAAAAACACCCCTCTGATTTATCAAAAGCAGATCCTTTTCAACTTCTTCTGAACTAAAGAACACCCCAAGAACAACTACATGAAGTGAAACATTTTAACACCTGACAACATTAATTCTAACAGAATGTTCAGGTACAACTCTAGTAAAGTGTGAAATTTGGCTAAGCAGAGGGACCTAGCAATTTTTGACACAGAATATAGGATATTTAAGTTACAAAAATGAAGAAACTTAAACTTGGGAGTTGCTTTAGTTCTCTCCTAAATACTTCTGACCAAAACAGCCACATTTGCCACACTGGTTTCTACACAGTTTAACAGTATTTTCATTTTCTAGTACGTACTGTACCTAATTTGCAGATACTTTGTGGGAGCTATTGTTTTTAAAAAAAAAACTTTTCATTAAGACATTATGTCTTGAATATAACTGGTATGGAAGAAAGACCACCTTGGAGAAGGAAGGGGCTGTAGGGAAGACTCATCATCATGATGAATCATCAAGATTCACTCATCCAGACACTTTGCTGTATGCTGCATACACTTCATAGTGCAATTTCAAAATACGTTTCTCAGCTATTACATCTGCACTAAAATCATTAATTAAACACTTGCTACTGCACATCAGAGAACAAAATTAAATTGTATTGTCCATTTTTAAATTTCTTCATGGCACCATTCGTAACATTCACATAGGTTAGTTTTCAAAGGGGCCAAATGAATCCTGGACCTGAAAGACCATTTCTCACCCTTTTTTATGCACCACTTTACATCTTCTATATATACCCTTTCTGAATATTATGTGACACAAGCATCAGTGCAGGAAATATCAGCACAGAGGAAAAAACAGAAAATAATATAGTAATAAACAATAGATCAATTTCTTATAAGCTTCTCACCTAAAGATGTGGCAAAGCACTTCATGAGAGAGCTGGTTCATGTAATCTTTCGGCTCATCAGCTTTGGTAGACTCAGAGCCTTCCCTGTTCACTGAGCATGGTTTCACATTTTTCCGCCTGGGGCCCATATTTGCAATGATTTCTGATGAAAGGAAATGTTCACAATGTTATGCAAAATCAGTGCAACTGAAAGAGGACAGAAAAGGGACAGAGTAGCAGAGAACAGACCAGTTAAGGTTAGTTTACCAAAAAAAAAACCCAAAAACAAACAAACAAAAAAACCCACCCAGTAAAACCTGTCAATAAATATCAACTCTACTACAGACAAACTGCACTGGAGGTAGAAACACTTTTCCAGGAAGTTACAATGCGCCTCATGCATGAGGTCTCAGACTAACTTGCCAACTGAATTAGATAAACCAGAAAGTCCCTCTGGTCTAAGGGAGGCTGATAAAGGGGAAGAGCACCACAGGTTTAATCAGAGATCACTTCTTTTATACTTTCTTTACACATAAGAGAATAAAATGTCATCAGCGGTACCATCCACACACTAGTTGATCAAGTCTCAGCACAGCTTTTCCTGTGTTTTGTCCAGTTTACCAAGCAAGTACCAGCTAGACACGTTCCAGTGACACAGCGAGCACAGAGCTCATGTCTACCAGAAACAGACATGTGTATGTTTGTATTTATTTATTAAGAAAAAATAGACTCCTACCAACCTTTCGTGAAACACGTCCTATTAAAAGTTCTCAAACTAGCTCTTCCTAGAGGTAAGAATACTAAATGAAATACTCAGGTTGCTTAAAGATCAAAGTTCCAGAAAAACTGAAAGCAGCCACGTGCAAAATATTCTTTACTGAAAGGGCCGATTAACATGTTCTGTCTATATTGTTTCCACAGTACAATACAGACACAGATGGCCTGAAAAAAGAGATATACATTCTGCTATTTAAAAACAGACAAACTGAGTATAAGAAGCAACAAATAGAAAAATAAAAACAAATATAAACTTAAGCCTAACAAAACAGCTGAGTTAACATCTCATGCAGACAAATGGTATGCGAAACGTCTTCACTACTGCTATTTAACTGAGGAATGCTTTTAGGTAAGTAGGGTAAAGCATCATTAATTCAGTAAACCTGTTTAACAGGTCAAATACCAAAATTCAGTGGATGAGGGAAAATAATTTTTTTTAAAAAATGGCAGATTTTGGAAAAAACTTCCGTTTTCAAAACTTAAATCATAGATGCTTCTGTCATGGCATTCACCATGATGCAAGTATATCAGTGTTTGCTTCACATTATGTGAAAGTGGCACCCGAACAAAAAGACAAAGTAGCTCTTAAAGATGAAAAGAAAAATTTCGCTTTCTCCAACACATATGATTTATATGCTGGCACAAAACTCGAAATATTAATAGCTCCATTGTGATCTAACTATTGAAAAACATGTGCTTTCAGGCATTTCTGTATACATTTTAAATTAACAACCATGCATGGTTATAATTACTTTTATTTAAAATGGTAGTATTAAAATAACTTAGTTCTTAGTTTCTACAAGCAAACAGTATTAAATGTATCTCTAATCTTTTGGGTTGGTTGTGACTTCATCAGACAAATAAATACATTAATCTGTTGACTGTACATACTTTTTCCTTTTTTTTTTTTAAGTGCACACTGGAAGAGTTTTTGCATTTCTTTGTAATATTGCACTTCATCATTTCCAAGAGGGATAACTTAATATTGTTCAACTACACAAAGCCTGAAGTTGATTTAAAACTACTTAAGAGATTAGATTTTGACAAAAAACAATTATTACATGGATTCCAAGTGAATACCACCTTACCACTTAATTTGAGCAGAGAGCAGCATACAACATAAACTCTACATTAATACAGACATATGACAGAGCTGTATTTAAAGCACAGTGTTAAAAGGGTTTTTTTTAAAAAAACCTATGTGATATAAGGTAAGAGGAAATAAAGATTTAAATAAATAGGACTAGCATATAGCAAAAAAAAACCTAGAAAATCCAGTGAGGTTTAAAGGTAATGAGTACAGCTCTCCCCGTGCATCTGGACTGCAGTTTAGTTTGGAGCCCTCAGCTCTTACCACTAAGAAAAGGAGGAAGAGAAGAACGCTGTTTTGAACTAACACATTTATCCTTAACATCTCATTCTACATTACCAGAATGACCCCATTTAAAAAAAAAAAAAAAAAGTACCTCTGATATTTAATAAAGCAGACAAAACAGTTTTGTTCTCCCCAACTAAAATAGGCCACGAGAGTCTTGATTAGGAACTACTACGCTGAACTCACTAGGCTTGAAGAGTAAAGGAAAAAAGCCCTCGGGGGACGCAGCCCCCGCCGGGGGGCCCAGGCGTTCCTGGGCCGCAACGGCCGCCCGGGGAGCGCCGACACACGGCTACTAGAGCCAAACCCTACCCCTGGCGTTTTCTTAAAAAAAAAGCGGAGGGGAGAGGGGGTCTATCCGCGCCGAGGTAAGCCGTTAGTTGCAGAGAAAG